CGCCTGCATATTCCAATACAAGAAGTTACGACGAGCTGAATTACGGGTACGTATACACATCGAATTCATTTTTTGACGTAAGTTCTAAAAGACTTACAGGAAATGTGTATTTAGTTTTGTGTATTGCCAAAGTACTGTTCAATACGCCATCGAGTACATAATTTTAAACTGAGAAAGGGTAACAAGTGCGAAATCGATCGTCAAAAATTTGCAGTCAAATTAAGCAGAAACCTCTTCCTATCTTTTGCCTGAAATAGTATGAGCATTGAACTTTTTAATCAGTTTGTGGAGATCTGTCGCGTGCAAAATTCCAAACGAACATTGCCATTTTAATGAAAAGGGAATGGGGGAGGACAAACTCTGATGGGAGATTTCTTGGCAAACACGGTCTAGCATCTAAGCGTATTCTAAATGAGCTCTTTGTGAAAATGTTTGGTGGGATACAAAGACATCATGCATGAATACTGACAACCTCGTGTAGGGGCAGGAGATACGAGATTGGACCAAGTGAAAGCGGCAGGGATGTCCGTCTTGACCAGGGTCTGCAAGGGTTTCCCATCGCCGATTCTATTTGGAATTCCTTGAACGTACTTTTCTATTCGGATCGCTGCACATCTCTATGCAGAGGTGGGCAAGACATGGGGAGTAGCAAATTCTTAGCCTTTTGTACCGAAGTCTTCCTCTTAAGTGTATATGTTACTTCTGCACTACAAAAACTCACTTGGAGAGGGATAGCGGATTTTTGGTGTTGATATTGAAGGCTCTTCCGCCTGGCGTCGAGGCGGCTTTTCTTTCCGATCAGCCAGTCGTAGCAACTGCGATCCCACGAGAACCTTGAGGAATCCATGTAACGTCGGGGTAACCTCTCCACCAAAAGAGGGTGTTCTTCCTCCTTCTTCAAATGATGCCGCGCTTCCCAGCACGCCAAGATACACTGCAAGAACCATACTCAAACTTAGAACTGAGGAAAACTATTTCCAGCGTTTCCACTTCGGTCCGACTCTCGTCCGATGTCCATCGAAGTAGTACCACGTAGTGAAACTGGGACTCCTATGCAAATAAATTTGTCCGCGAACAAATATTTTAATTTTCATTTACATTAAAAATACATATACACTTTTCGTGCCTTCTTTTTCATTAGCTGGTGGTTTCTGGTCTATGTGCAGATCTTGAACGACTGCAGCCGCTTGAGTAGGAGAGAAAACGGCAGGAATTGCATCTTAAAGACAGTTCGAATGGTCTATCAGGGGTGCACAAAGTGGATGTTCACTGAGGCACTTTGTGATTCCGTGCTCAAGGTATTGTTTTAGAGAAAGAAAAGTAATCTTATACTGTACTTGTAAGCTTATACGAGTAAGCTGAATAGAGTTAAAGCTTCGGTGCCAAAATAGGTGACGAAAATAAAACATCCTGATTCAACAACGATGGACAACTAGACAAATCGATTCCCTAGAGTTTAGAATTTGGTATCCTTGAACGTTGTACATAACCTTGTTGGATTTTGTCGCGAAGACTGGAACTTGTTCAAAACAACAAAGGGGTATACAATTCTGCCAATTATCAACGGCAAGTCTCCCTTTGTTGCATTATAAGTTGCTTCATAATAGTATCCTTCCTTTTTCCCCCTCCACAGGAATAGTCAAAGAAAGTTCTGGTATAACATAAGATTCTGCAATATAAAACGTTTTTCACCATCCTTGAATCTTGACCTTACTTCTATTGAGGCTCCATCTCTTTGATGCCAGAAATGGAATTACCCAGGAAAATGGTAGTGCTGGGTAATGATGCCTAACTTGACCCTGAGAATTCACCTGAGAAATAGAAGGGGTGTTACAGTAATTGAGATCTCAGGAAAGGGTTGGGAGGCGAGGGGAGGAATGCTCGGGATCTGCACTCTGAATATGATTGAACTTGTACATGCTGTAAGTAAGACGAGAGGATCGTAAAAGCCTGATTTCCCGCTAACCGAATTTGTTAGGTGCCTAGCAAAATAGAGCAACTGGAACGACAATCAATATCGCCTATCAATATATCCAATATCGACGATATTAACAGACTTTGCAGAGCAGATGCCATTACCAGACGAGAGCTGGAGCTCTAAAACGCCGATTACAGTATTTCAGCCCGCTAGCACTACTAGCTACTCTTCCCCTGATATTATAGTACCAAAAATAAAATTAAAAGCATACCCAGTTAATCCGTTGCCACAACAGACGAAGAAAGTTTGCCCGCTGAATCGCCTGCATAAATTATTTCCGATATCCTACCGTACTAAACTTGAGGCTTCTCTCTGTAACTCCTTAAGGTTACTAAATGCAGCCCACCCGAAAGAACGCAAGCAATTAAAGAAAACGAAAGGAGGTAGGAGATGGACAGGAAAGGAGCGTGTCAATGAATCTTCCGAGAGTATGGGAACGTCATCACCCCCTCCCAGCGTAATATACTGTACAACAGACTCAGGAGTAGTGTGTCCAATTTAGAGAGACCGGAATGTGGGACACGTGAAGTTGACGTGCGCGAAGGGGGGAGGGGGTATGCAGGAATGCAGTCCTATTTTAAAAAAGTGTTTGAGCGCCCGACCATACTGGGGGGGGGGGTGCTAGGATTAATTTGAAACGACGAGTGGAAGGGGGCGTGGGAGTTGAAAGGCGTGTGAATTCGGTTGTTCCTCTATTCCCTTGACCCAGACTCCAAGAACACATTTCTTTCGTAGCTTCAAAATCGAAGAATAAAAAAAAAAAGGGGGAACTTCTTTCATTTTCGTGATACGGGATATTTCTTGCAGAAAGTGCAGTTGCGAGAAGCAGAACGGGCGGGAATTGAAATTCAGGACTGTTCCGCAGAAAGAGGGACGGTAGGTAGTCACCCCACCCAGGAGGCAAGATGAATCCCCGAGCCTCCTACAGCTGGATCCTTCCCAAGGGAAGATGCTTCCGTGCCGAGGAACCCCGATCAGGATGCCGGAGTGACAGGCGTTCCTCAACCGCTGTTTCTTCCATGAAAGCATCTCTTCCAGAGTGCCATGATCGGTGCCAAGAACGAAATTTTTTTGGTCCTACTCAAATCCTTCTTCATCCCGTGTTGACCGTCGTCCCCATTAACCAAAATCCACGTCTAAAACGGTATCCTTCAGTGAAGTATAGCAGCTTTAATCCCATATTTCTCTGACAGTGAAACTCCTTCATTAAATGACCCTTCTGTTAAATGACTTTGCCGAAATCTCAACGATAAAGTCTCATGATATGTCTCCCAGCAAGAATGAATCAAAGAAATTCTCTCAACGACTGGATGCAGACCTAGGGATTAAAGCAAGACCAAGTTTTGGCTTGAAGCGGCTGGAAGGCAGTGAGAAACGTGATGTGTGGGCTTGTATCACAGAGAAAGGAATAGTGTCTAACCTCTACAGACCCGAGCGGCATGTACAAGTGCCAAACCTCATGGCTTTTATTTTTCTCGGGTCTGAGGTGGTTAATGAGGAAGTAGTGGGGCATTTCTCGTCATCTGAATATTGTCGTTGGTGGCAAATCTTACCTAAGCCTAAAAGAAAGGTGAAAGGTGCCCTCTGCTTGAGGCGCATTCAGTAGGATGGGCAGATACCTTTCATCCCTCCACCCGCATTACACCCAGACATCCTCCCTTCATTCTTCGCACTCCTAGGCCTACGTCAAAGCAGAAAGTAGGCCGACTGCACTTCGCCCAACTCGCTCAGAAGCCATCTCGAGAACTTCAGGACACACATTACGAGTTTATCACTCTAGACGCAACATGATGATCAATCAGGAGAAAGGCGAATACGAAGCTGAAAATTTCTCGGACTCCATTGGGAAACGTCATCGGTAAAGCCTCCAGCCGTCCCGAACAGAAAATGACTAGCTTCGTGTTGACTGAAATGCGAGTCCCGTTGGAAAAGGGATTCGGATGAGAAGATAATTTGCACGGAACGGAATGAAAACCGTAACAGAACAAAGGGGAAATGGAAATCAACATGGAACGGAAACCAATCTGGAACGAGCGAAAAAAAAAATGAGATCCTACACCACAGTATCTCAACGTAGCTGGGACTCGCGGAAAAACTTTTGAGGACTCTTTCTTTTCTACCTAAATTCATGCATATTCATTGATCATGCGCAACACAAGAGCGTTCCCGAATTGGGAATCCCAAAGAGGAGTCTCCTTTGGGATTCCCAATGAAAATCGATTGAGAAACCGTGTCCTCGACGGATGTGGCAATCCACGTGTATCGGCCTACGTTACGTCTGAACGGGAACAATATTTAAGCCTCTCGTCTCAAACGAGGCTCACAAGACATCAAGTATCTTTTCGTTCTTTTTCACATAATCTATTGTGACAAAACGAATATGCCGATCGAACAACAAAGAGTGAGAAACGTAAATGGGAAAATTGCTGGAATATCTGACACTCCTCAATGCACACATTTTCTCATTCTATTAATACATAAAATCAGTTCGCGATTTTATGTATAATGAGAAAAGAATGACTCCTTACACATCATCTAAATCAGTAAGTTAGTCAGAATTGAATGCGATCGAATCGTTCCGAACATAACGAAACGGTTCCGTGGAATTCGGGCGGAAGAAAGCCTTAACGATATCGAAGGAACCGGACCGAACGGAAACCACTTTTCGACCGTTCCGATGGCCTGCTTAGAAATGGAATTTTTACTTCATTTCCGTGACGTCATTTATCACAAAGGATGTCGAGAGCGACGTCGGAAACAGATCAGCGACATCATTTCACTGAGATTTTTCTTCTGGGTGGGCGGAACCCGGTTCAACAGCCAAAGCGGATCTGGACGTAGTGAGTGAAATATGTGAGAAAGATGATACACAATACGAGCCAGCAGAGCAGTGGTTCTCTCCGGTTTCGCCGCCACGAAAAGAGCAACCGAGAGAAGAGAGAAGAGAGGAGAGAGAGAAAGAGAGAGAAGAGGGAGGATGAAGGTGCGCAAATTCCAGGGTCCGTGTTGGCAGGGTCGCAACTCTCTCTCGTTCTCTGTCTTGTCTTGTGTCTTCCCCAGTCCTTTTTCTTCACAGGTTGCTGGGTCTGTCTCTGCCTCTGGTCTGCCTTTCCTGTCAGCACAGACTGTAGATTATGGTCCAGGAATTCTGGTTCTTCGATCGTTCCAAGACGCACCAGGACAGACTCTAACGCCCAACGCCTGTCTTTGTTTCTTTAAATCCCCGTCTGTGATATCGTTCGATCGACAAGGTGCAGGCACGTTGTTTTAGATGTGCAACGAAGAAGATTTCAGCATTGGACTCCATGATCTCCCCTTCCTTCTCTCTCTTCTTCCTAGGTATGAATAAATACATTTTTACAAAAATATATACATCAGGCAGTATTCTTTGATCGTAATGATGTTGCTTCTTGTTTTGCTCTAGCGGTGGTGTTCACTTTTCAAGTTCCCGGATTACAAGGTCAGTACCTTACTCCTCCTATTTGTAATATGCAAATATTCTACCGCTGAACATATTTTCTTTAATGAACGACAACCTCGTTCAATTATGTCACAAGGAGGCTTCAGTACTTCGTCATTACCTGGAAGACAGGAAACTCCTTCATCCATGCCAAAGATCCAATTTAGGCGCTGCAAATTCAGACAGGAGGGAGGGGGCAAAAACATGTGGCATTTCCGCGAAGCTCATCTGAGCTGACGAATGGGGAAATAATGACGGGGACCCGTGGCGAAATCCTTAACCGATTCGCTGATGTTTCTGGCTCGCAGCCACGATTGTGAATCAGACCTGGTTCATTAGTCCTTTGCCACGTGAAAGGGGGAAAAGGAAGAAGGTGGTTTTACTTAACTGCAAACACATGGGACAAACCCGGGGTCATCAGGAACTCGACTAGTCTGCTTCCACCAGGCAAAGTTCACGAACTGCATCGTAGCAGACGACGCCTGAACGCTCCATGACGTCACACCCGTCGTCGTGACATCAGTTCCGCCATAACCCAACACTGACGTGCCGCAAAAGGATTCATGTATCGGTTCGGTAGAGCAAAAAAAAAGGATCCATGCGTCAGGAATGAGGATAGACAGATAGGAGGAAAGGATCCTCGACAAAGGCGTAACTTGTTGTCAGCAAGGAGATCGGGGAAGAAGAAGAGAATAAGATGAATAGATTGAGTTGATGGCAGAAACTAGGCCGGTGACATTATTTTTAGAGCCAGGGAAGACGAGCGGCTCCATACGGCTCCGGCTGGTGTCTGCAGTCGATCTAACGGATTAGACTGCGCTCGACTCGTCAGATCAAACCACACAGGCCTCTCCAAAAGTGCTTCTGGCATTTATAAGAATTTGTTTCGTTGATTTAGGGAAGACAAAAGGCGGATCTCCGGGCGAGGTAAAATCCGACCCGACCACGTGCCACAACTTCACGGTGGGGACCCCGAAGGAGCGAAAATTCTATTCTCCCAACTACCCCAACTATTATACCAGCATGACTGAATGCACCCTCATTCTCACAGGTGAGGAATTGGGTATCGGATCCAGGGGTTTCTTTTTTAACATCTGTGTCAAGGTAAGGAGAGGGGGGAGGAGGAATTTCTCTGTCAAGGTACAGGAGGGGAGGAAGAGATCAGATCGTCTCCCCCAAACGACTAACATCTTGACAAATGTTGTTGGTTGCATGGGAAGGTGGGGGGAGAGAAGAGGGGGAGTAAAATATATATGCAGGTAGCTGTGAGTGTGTCTATACCTGACATAGTTGGCCAGAGATCAAGTTCTTCCTCTCTCTCTCTCTTTCTTTGTCAAGTAATGGGAAAGGAAATGAGGACGGCAATTTTTGGCCTCTTCCTTTCTTCCCCTATGCCACCCTCTGGGGATTCCCTCCGACTAATAACGAGACTAATTGTCTCAAACCCATTTACAAATACCCCTAAATTTCGGCTCATCTTTCTAGCTCATCATTAGTTATTTTGCCTAATGTTCTCCTAATTGTCTTTTTTCATTTTCTTCGCTCACTTCAATAAATGTTCATCTCATTTTATACATGTATATTAGCCATCATTTTACATATTTTCGATTCTCTACTCTCATTGTTGAAACTACCTTTACCAGGCACGAGTTACTTAATAATTGAATTCTCTCATATTTATTGTATTTATTATATTTATCGCTGTCCTTCACGGCATGTGCCGTGAAGAATGAAGAAGGATGAGCCACATCCCAGTCTTCATTCTATTCTAGTTCTGTAGAACACGGCGAAGAATGCTACCCGTGCTTAGGATGGCCGTGCGCTGTAGGACGTCTGAGGATGTAGGACATCTCAGCTTCTGGGACTTGGTCCTTGTGGTCAGGACCACGCCAGTGGTGCCGTCCAATGTTTATTATATGTATTATATAGTATTTATTATATTTTTATTCTAGCTCCGCCGGAGAACCTGATTTCGGTGGACTTCCGAGGGCAGGAATTCCGGTTGGAGGAGGACGTCAATTGCACAAACGATTACCTGGAGGTGCGAGACGGGGCCTATGGGTATTCCCGGATGATCGGCAGATACTGCGGCCACAAGTTCCCTCCCATCATCATCAGTTCCTACCGGTATCTCCACCTTCGATTCCATTCCGACGAGACCATCGAGTACTCGGGCTTCGCCGCTCAGTATCAGTTCATCCATAGCCAAGGTCAGTTCCCTTTCTCGGTCTTCTTATTCGTCTTCATGAGAGAGCTCAAGTTGCAGGATTTTTGGGTTTTGGTGGGATTTTAGGCTTTCTCAAGGTATACTACGGGGCATTCTTATGAGTTGAAGCGAGTAAAAGGGGATCTTGACGGTCTCATGCGAATCAACGTAATTCTAAGGGATCGCAGAAATAAAAAAACCCGCCTACAGCATAGCCCACGGTGAGAGATACTTCAACAAAAGCTCACTAATTGGTCCATAATACATGCTTTTATCATTGAAAATCCAATTTGTCGAGTTTCGGAAAGATCATGGTCACATTTGATTTGGGGCATAGTCACGAAACTCTAGAGCAGAGTCCCTTCTAGTACGTTATTTCGTATTCCGAAATAAACTTGTTCACAAGTGGTACAACCCTGCTGAAAGAAACCTCATGAGAATCTCATGAGTTTTTCGTATGACCTAACGGGATCACATGAAATTTCAGGTGGTCTCCTGTTTACATGAGGTCTGAGATCTCGCAAAGATTAAATGCTGAAGTATGAGCTTCATGAGAACAGCATAAGGTCTCATGAAGAATTTCTGAGGTCTCACACTACATTCATGAGACTGCATGTGAGAATTCAAGATCGTCGCATCGTTAATTGGGGCGAACTTCGAAAATATATTGCTGTTTCGTTTCATGGGTTCTTCAATCGGACTAAAATTAAGTTCTTTCCCTTGCACCTAGCTCACCTAACGTAATCCGTTCATATATTCTCATTCCATTTGGCCTGGAATATAGCATTTGACTAAAAGTAAATTTAAGAGTTTATTTTTTCTTGAACACATCCCAATGTAACCACGATTATTCTGCAATCAAGTCTTAAATTATGACTCCCTTATTGCTGAGGTGGTCCTGGACATCGTTTAGCATTAACAGCGCATAAACGAAGCCATCCTGTCAGTGAAGGATACCTCTTCCTTTATTAATGGCTGGCCGCAGACGATTAAAACGCAGAGGAAAAGAAGCAAACAGAGGGGACGTTCTTCTCGTTTCACCCGTGTTTGCTTGGTCTTCTTCAGGAATGGAACAAAATGAAAGGGTTCCAATTTCGATCTTCAAATCGAATACAGTACATTTTCGAAAGGTATTGAAAGCCACGACGGAATATCTCGTCCCAAATGCTGCCTGCTCAGAGGGGATCGAAGTTCGAGGCGTCAAATATTCAATAGGTCTCTCTTACACGTACTTGATGTAATGACAATGATGTAATAAAAATGAGGACGTGCTTTCAGGAAGATTGAAATACCCGAGCTCTTGCAGATCTCAGCCTTTCATTTTCATCAAGGCGAGTTTTCCCTTTAAAAATTCGAGAAAATGAAGAGGATGGGCAGGAGGGCGAAGTGGAGGACTCGGTTCATGCTTCTTCATTCTTCTTCACGCTTGTATATTTCAGAATTATTTTTGAAGTTCGCTTTTTATCTGATGGAATGTGAAGTTGAGCGATCTTGTCCAACTCAGTAAATCGAAAGCTGAGGCCAACGAGTCGATGGAGTTTGGGAATGATTTGATGAATCCCAGGAAAATTCGCTAAGTGACGTTCGAAAGGCCAGCTGTCACGAATCACACTTTGGGCAGGGTTTGTTGTAACTGGGAGTAGGATAGGATGCCTAAATAAAAGCGTTTTGGAGTACAAAGGTTGTGTTTAACTTGAAATTCTCTTTATTATTTTCTCTCCCAACCTCTGCCTCTGCTTGAGCAGCTATTGAATATATTTCCTTCTTCACCCTTTATTGCTCGTCGTCCCGTTCAGCAACAACTGGACTATTGCGTACCTTTGGAACGTCTGGTAAAGATGGCTTTTTGAGATATCCGATTTGCCCTTATCGCTGCACATGATAGGGAGCAGTCCAAGGGAAGACTAAGACCTATACCAGATGGTTAATGCCCAGGGAGCAGGAAGTTTTTTTTTCCTTACGAAGGAATGTTTTCAGTTGAAGCCGCAGTCGAAGCATATATAAAGATCATTTCCATCACGGCATTCTTTGTGAGAATAAAGCTGGCAGAATGACCATTGGGTTCAAATTTCCTTTGGTTAGATCCCACTGACCTGAGGGATTCCATGCATACCAAGCGAGGTGTCCTTATCAGCTGATAATTCAATAGAAAAATTTGCTACAGTGGGCTCCAATCGCGGTTACTATCACTATACATCATGTATCACCCAGAAGAAAGGGGAGAATGTCAAGCACTCGTGCAAACAATACTATCTTCATCGCTCATCAGTGATGAAGGTAATAATAACCCGAGTTCATAAACCGTAACAAATAAGTTTATACCAAGGAAACCCTAGAAAAAGCGCTGATATTCGGAATTTGATTAATTTCTATTACCCCGATCGGCGCCAAGTTTTTTCCAAGAAGAGCTTTCCATTTCGGCAGACGGAAAAGATATAAAGCGTGCCCATGCGTCCTGCCCGATGACTGCTGCACGCAGAATCATGGAATGCGCATACTCAAATGGCTTAGGAATCAGAAGTATATCTGGGAATTATGGCGAAACTGAAAATGTAATACCACTCCATTGCAAAATGCTGCAATGAATTCTGCAAACGTAGTATTTAAAAAAAAAAGTTTACTTGGTGCATTTACATGCATTTACTATATTTCCCAATTGGTATGATACTGTGAAGATGAGTTTTCAGTATTGACTCCCTGATGCACTTTGCCGTACCAGTCAAAGGTGAAAAATATTCTTAGTTTATCTCTCTTTTATCGATGCTTGTGAAAGAACGTCTCATCGAGGGACAAGTACATATTTTAGCTTTCTTAACTTTTCGGGGAAAAAAATAGTTTCATCAATGTTTTTTCAAATCATCCTCGACTCCTTCCGCGTTGAGCCGATGGCAATGAACCCTTGAAACCAAATTAAAAATAGTTTACAGGCTGGTCGTTTGGGCATCAGTTCTCATTCACATGATTTCAATAATTATTTTTTGTTAACAGAGAAGGTCCCAGAGCGTCCTCCGTGCCGGTTCGAGGTGACGGGAGAAGAGGCTCGGATATCCCGGGCTGACATCCCTTCAGAACAGGAGCAATTCACTCAGAACCACGGAGTTCCCCTCGACTGCACCTGGGTTATCACCGTCAGGGCTCAATGGATGGTCTGTCTATTTCTCAATCAAAAATAATTTTATTATTAAGAAATGAAAAGAAAATGGCTGAGGCATGAGAAAGGAAAGAAAGATTCCAAAGCCATGAATCAACGTACGGTTTTCGGTGGAAAACAGAGTTCCTTTCATGCCAGCCCAGATCTAGAGAAGAACTGAAGACTTTCTTTTTCCTCTTCTTGCCCACCTGTCTACCCACTTCACAGCGCGGGTCTGTGACATTTACCAGAGTCTCCCTTTCCTCTACTCCCTCTTCATTGGAAACGTGGAGGCGGCAAAGCTGGCTCAGAAACGATTGTACACATGACAGCATGAGTCATCCCAATACCCAGAGTTGTGGCTCCGCCTTGTTAGACTCAAACTGGATTTTCTTCTTTCGCTTGTTTCGTACTTTCTTATAAACAGTGTCACCAGTCGTTTATTCTATAGTGAGAAGTCGAAGAAGGCAAGTGCTTCCCGGCTTTACCGAATATCCGCATGTTCACAGAGAAGTGAAAAGAGGCATTGTAAGAGGGGGGACTTAAGTAGGAGTCGGGGGACTCGAGTAGGTGGACTTAAGTGCCTTAAGAGAGACTTAAGTATGAGGGATTCGTGCCTATGGAACAAGATGGGTGGAGCTTGCAGGGGTGAGACCTTGAGATTTTTGGCTCCCGTTCTTTCGCATACCTCCTTCTCTCCTCCCCCCTCACACAACATGATCCTCTTCTGCTCTCTTCTCGACGCGAATCCCCCATACCACACAATCCTCTACAAACATAATATACATCGCGAAGATGGAATCTTGGACGATCGATAGAGGAAAGGCGAAGACGCGGTGTAAGTGTACACGTCTGGCACTAATAATGGCCGGAACTGTAGGAAGAGCTAGAAACTCTTCCTTCACTGCTGACTTATTTCTTACTCGCATTATTTGCGAATGCGATGCAAATCAAACATGAGATCCTCTCCACGCCGAATGGTAAGAGTAAAAATTTTCTGAGTACCATTAAGTTCATTTTAAAAATCTTTGTCACATAAGTTTGAGTGGACGCAGGCAATTCTTTTTCCTTCAATCGCTCGGGATTCCGTGCCGCGATCATGGCGATTTCCATATCGTTGGAAAGCTCATTTGCTTACTTTGACTCGGTATAGAGTTCACTCTAATTCTAGGGGAGTCTCGACTGGACGATTAAGGAAACTTGGATGGGTTTGGCCTGCTTACTGCAAATCAGGACCATACCATATACCAAATATCAGAACGTTAGCAATCATCTTGACTTCAGGATCCACTCTGTGGAGGATACATTTTCCATGGCAGCAGATAGTACGTACCATATTGAAGCCAGTGGAAGGCTATTCTTAGTCCCAAGTGTACCACTTCTGAAAGTCCCGGCATCTCCTCTTCTGATAATAAATTTCCTGGGTTTTGCCACTGTCACCCAGATGCACATGAGCTTCCAGAGTCACAACGTACGGAATGTACGGAATGTACATTTACCCTGTTCCATTTGTAACTTGACTTCTGCTTCTGGGAAAAAGTTAATTTCTCGAGTAAACATTGCTCATGCACTCATGAATGAGTGTACCAAGTTTTACAACTTTTTTTTAAATATCTCGTCGGAGTAACTGACTCTTTACATGTAGGTATAAGATGTTCCTGACAAATATACATATTAAGAAATAGGCATGGGCAGCAATGGACCGTAAAGTACCTGTGGAAGTAGGATGAAACACATTGGAAATTGTTCCATAATTCCAAGGGGCATGAGGAGGGCCTGCACCTACCAGGACAGTCCATACCTGGATAGAGAGTTTCTACCCCTACAGGAAGCATGCTATTCACCGTCGCCCATGTCTATTTCCATTTGTCAAAAAACGTATTATACCAGCTTGCACGTGAGAACCTGTCACAGCAAAGAGAGGGGGGGGATTCTGCATAAATAATTCAGTTATGAATACCTGACATATGTTTACTTAAGAAATCTATATTTTTCCGTGAAACGGCCGTGAAATTAAAATAGAAAAGACTCCGTATGTCACTCGTATTTGAGTCCTCCCCTTAATATATGACGCTCACATAATTTTCGTCAATTACGACAGTTTTCCTCATTTCGGTGTTTCTCATGAGGAGCATGCACCCGTGTACTTTGATTATAGATTAAAATCTTGCCCGAAGATATTCGACTCCGTACCTTTAGAAATTTGATACTTCTGTGTATCAGCCCGCTGAGGGATTGGATTCTCTCGCCCGACGCAGGTTTCCACTTTCTCGATGAGGTCCTTGCTCCAAGACTAGACATGAATAGAATTTTCGCGGTCTTTGAATTCCATGTTATCGAGCTTTCCGACGTTCGCCGATTTTTCGTAGAATACAACACACAGTCGCTTTTGAAATTGGCCTCCCTTTTGCAGTACACTCTTTCACAGTGACAGAATAAGAATTCTCTTCGTTGGAAAGAGTAATGACGCACGTCACACCAAGCCCTCACTTTCTGTCATTCCCAGTTGGCGAATCACTAAAAACTGCCACTGCTTACGCAGACTTAATACGTTCTCCCACTCTCCTCGCATCAACAAGTACGAGCAAGAAAAGTTGCCAGATGAATTGAAAGTCGTTCCGTTTTTTTTTCACGGGTGCTCCCTCGTTCCTTCTTTTAAAGGAACGAGGGAGGACCTATAATTTTTCTCATTTTCATTCCGCAATGACAGAAAAATCCATGTACTTCGGAAGCTAAATGCAGGCAGCTATAGAAACGCATGCAATTTCCCGTCAATCCAGAAGGGATGGTTAGCAACATCGTGAAAAGAATGAAGAGTAGTAGTTTAAGAAGGTGCATGTTGAGAAGAATTTATTATTATTCTTTAATATTACTTAGTCATCCTCTTTTAGCCTTTAAATAGCGGCCTCCCGCTCACTCCGCAGGGTCAGGTCTCCGTAGAGAAGATTTCCAACGCGAACATTATCGGAAATAGCAGAGTTTAAATTTTGTAACTTATGAAACTGCGGGCGTTTGCTTTCTCCTCTGCCTGGAAGGCATGAAATAATTGGATCCGGTCGACTTCGCCCAGTTGCCGTCTTTGCACTTCTCGAGCATTTGGTTGATTACTATCACTCAAGGTTATCTTCTATTCGAAGAAACTCCAAATTTAGTTTTAGTCCTCCCTCGATAACACATGAAAAAGAATTACTCGATAACAAGAACAATATGAAAAAAGAAATAGGAAATATGCTTATTTATTTGGATATTTCTAAGTCTGTCCCTGGATCTATTGAGAAACTCATTTTCCCGACCCAAGCACGGTAATCTTTGCCTAACCGCAAGTAATTCTACGGAGTTCTTTCACATTGAATGAGGATAAGACTGAAGACTGGGGTCAATGTTCCACGATTTAAAAAAAAATGGATTTTCATCCCTCCCGGGAGAAGGCAGCACTGCAGAGCATGGCATTTCTTCGTGCAGAGATACCCAAACTTTTCGGTTCTTGGGGCCATATAGCCTCTTAACCGCAGGTCTGTGGGCTGCAAACATCGAAACTTTGTGAAGGGAAATTGCTGGATGAAGGACCAAGGGAGGGGGGGGGGGGACAGGAGCAATGGATTAAGACAAATCCTCTCTAGAGTTCCCACCTGATGGAGTCTGAGCATTTCTTTCCAAATACCCTGTACTTCCCTCGCGGGCCACACAGAAACACTAGAAGGGCCGCAAGCAGCTTGCGCCAATCTTTGGGCACCTTGTCCTACGGTATTAACCCTGAGGTTGAACGAGATTTGTTCAAGAGTATTCCAGTTGGAGAGCAGATTGACATGAAGCATAACACTAGGGACGAGACATAATGCGAAAGCGAGAGTTGGATCGGTTTCAGATCTTTATCTCTATCATGGGGAACCATATGGAAGGATTCATAGGGTTTTCAGATTCTTAAGGGAGCCACGCCATATATGTTTCTTATAATCCGCTTCTAAATGGCTTGTGACTCATGTTTCACGCACTTCCTCTTTTCCGTCTTACAGAGACAGCAAAGGCGTTACGCACTTAGGAATCGTCGACATTTTCGTCATCCTGTGTCAGGACTTAGGCGTTTCTCTTTGAACTTCATGTAGAAGACGTAATGGAAGATGGGCGAATGCAAAGCATGCGGAAAATGCGGCTCGGCATCCAATCCGAGAAAACATTATCATCAGCTTTCTGGAATGGATTGAAAGTGGAACCTCAAAGCGTTTCCAGTGGTTTTCATAGGTTGCTTAGAAAAGGAAGATTCATTCCTCTTTCTCTCGAAAGAATGGCCCATAAAAGAAAACCGCAGGAAAAGCCGAAAATTCCACTTCCTTTCACCGCGATCCCCACCCAGAGAGAAAAATGAGAGAAGCCGAAGCTCTCCATTTCCATTCGGCGTTGCTCCAAACGCACGCCTGTCCCCGACGCTTCCGAGGGAAAACTGCACGAATCCAGATTCCAACGGTCGCATTCCACATTCCCTGTCACATGGCAGAGGAATGGAATTTTTTTGTTCTGCTTCCAAGCACCGGAAATGAGATCACCTGGAAGACGTATGGATCCGGATGCGATGCATCGATCACGGACGATCGGTTACGGATGCGGATGCTAATTCCGATTTTCCGGGACTGAAGTCGCTTTTTGCCTATGTTTCCGCCTACGTTCTTCAATCACGGAGTCATGAAAATCAATGGCTAGGCCATAAAAATTATTTGGCGGTTTTTCTTCTTTTGTTTTTACCGATATTAATGTTCACTGGGTGCTCAATGTTTACGCATCGATTTTTCTTTCATAAACGACCTCATTGATTTTCAAGCCACAACCTCTTTCGTGATAATTTTTTCTTGTCAATAGCCGGTTACTGGGAATTTTATAGCTCAGTGATGCAAATTGTAATTTTCTTCGGCTGGTTGATAGATATTTCCAATGAAACCTATTTGATAACTCTTGTCTCAAGTGCGTTCAATGAATGGGTCTTTTGTTTTACATCCTCTTACCATGGTTTTTCAAATGGAATTATAGACGTCCAATTCCGATATCATCATGCCAGAGTAATTTGCGAAATTTCATGTCTTGTGCTAATTTGTCACATAAAAAAAAAACGCATATTGTGATCCTTATGGGAACCTGCTGCTGACTTAGAAATCACCACATTCCCCTCGTGTGCAAACCCTTCCATATATGTTCGCTGAAATGAGGGAGCTGCCCTCGAGTGTCAGTTCTCAAGTCTCGTGGCCAGTATGAAACATGGTCAGTATGAAAATGTTGCTCCCATCAACTGACGTCTTTTAACGTCGTTTCCGTCGACGTGGAAGAGAATCGATGAAATTATATTATGAGTTGTTTTTATCCAGAATAGATCTGATTCGAGCACGAGTTGCAATTTCGAAGAAATAAGAGAAACCTCCCTCCCTCGCTCGAAAGGAGGAACTGAGGTAGATCCGTCGTCCTGGAGATTGTCGAGAGCCTGTCTTTCGTGATTCGTCGTGGAAAGTGGCCGCGAATTCTTTCTGTGCCGTAAGTGGGCACCGAAGAACCTCTCGGTTCCCGTCAAAGTGCAAAAACACCGACAGTCTATCCCATGGTCATCTATTGTTTTTAACCACTTTCTTCTTCTCCCTAAGTTGAACCATGTGAAATATGCAGGGATTATCCTCGGTGGAGGATCGATGCAATCCCCTAGCGGCACCGATAACTCGGCGAAATTCGACTGCATCGTTAGAGCTTTAACGATGCAGTCGAATTTGAATGAGATCACATACAGGGTGTCCCAGAAATATACCTTTTTATGCTTAAACATAAGTATACTGCATAAATATACTACATAAGTCTACTCGTATTACAAATGTATTCTGTTCTGACTCAATATTTTCAGACTATTTCTGTACATTTTTATGCATTCGTATATATATTTCATACGTATTACTGGTAAAACTCAGGTTTTCTCAAATCCATCGTCCTTCAATATTTATGAAAAAAATATTCACGCGGTGGAAATTTCCAAGTGCTATTACTCATGGAACATCCTGTATAAGTACCATATGGACGAAACTTGGCGTGGTGCAGCTCGTACTCATGCCAAGGTATGTACGGAAGGATAGGGGAATGAGAAGTCCGAGATATGCAGCTGTCGAAGGCGCCTGAAGAGGTTCCAGGAATGCGGGCGGGAACTCGGGGTCGCGTCATCGTCCTCCGTGCCCTCCATGCCCTCCGTGCCCTCCGCGCCCACCGTGCAGGCTGTGAGAACGGGTTCGTGCCAAGTTATGCCTTCGGGAAACTTCTAAACGACCGTATGCGGTAGTAAGTCATCCGATGTTTCTCTGCGGGGAGATGGGAAGAGTTATGCTATGTACGACGAAAATGTCGAAGGTGAAGAATAGGAACGGGGATCATCGCGAGGCACGCTTCACGCTTCACGCCGGTTCGTCCTCCGAGACGAATCTAATTTGGTGCAGTCGATGAGGTCTCTTGTTTTAACGATCGGTTTTTATACCTAATTGTTTGGGAATCGAACGACGCGGGCGGGTACCCTAATTCGGCTTGAACCCCGCTCATCCTTTCCCTTTGCCAACAACCCCTTGATGTGCAGTGACTTGCCAAGCTCGTTTCCCACTTAATTACTGACGCGCAAAAATTCCTAGCCACCCTTTGACTTGAGCTTTTTTTTCGACCTCAGAGAACCGGATCGCGACTTCCACACGATCGGAGGGTGGCTTTCCACACGTTTTCGCTCGAAACAGTACGGGATTCATTTGGGATCCAGGGCGGTGGCTCTCCGTAGCGATGATGTCGGTGGGAAACGAGGTGGAAACCAGGCGTCTTCTAACGTGCCTCGATGAGAAATGCCACCAGACCGACACGTGAAATGTAGCGGGCCTCGACCATGTCTCGTTGCGCCGTACGCATAGCAGCCTCAACGTTGAAAACCCGTCACATTACATGGACTCCGGCTGGAGTTTTGGCAAATAGAGGACCATTTGTTTCGTCCTGCCATCGTACCCGCAGCGCAAGAGGATTAATTTCCTCCTCTAAGCCGCCGAGGAGGATCTATGTCGACGCGAACGTCTCCCGACGTCGTCACCGACGAAGGTCATTCCGGTCTAAAGTGTTCATGGAAAACGCGAATGTGAGGCATTTTTTTCTCCCTCCGGTGAACCCAACGGGCCGACGGTGCCATCCTCACCCAGGCGCCGCTATTCCATGGAGTGTGAAACCTGAGTGTGAAACCACAGAAACTCTGGCTCTGGGACTTCAGACGAAGTAGAGAAGTAGGGAACCCATTCTATCGATGTGATCCATGGTCCAGCCCGCTACGACGAAAAAGTGGTTTGGAAAGGAAAAAGTATCCATGAACTTTTTGTGCACCGGTATAAATGAAAATATTTTTCATTTCTACATCACTGAGCGTCAGAGATTTAATTCTTAACTGCCGAACGAATATGCTGCTGGTGAAACAGTCCATTCCGTTAAACTTTTTTGGCGATGGAATGTAGAGACGGGAAAGAAAGCACGAGGATGTCGCACGCTGAAATCGGCACGTAGCGAAATACCTTCTCCTCGCGCAAAAATGAACCAAACCGAGCTCTGGAAATTGTAATGAGTTTGGATACCAGCTGTCACAATAAAAAAAAGAAACATCATTCGATCTCTCTACAAGAAATATTTCTCAAGTTTCGTTCGTCTGAATACCCTTTTCGACGAGGTCGTCTCTCCGTCTGAATCCTGCTTTCAGCCGGAATTTTTTCGAGAAAAAAAAATTCGGAGACGGACCGAAACCCCAAAAACAAAAACATTTCCCGTGCCAAAAGCACCATACGCTTCCCCCATGTTTCCGGCTAATTTCCCATCGAAGCCGTCGCGAGTCGCTCGGTTCGGAAGACGTCGCATGACTCCGTTTTCTCATCTTTCTTCTCGCTGCAGATCTACATCCAGTTTTCGGAATTCGAACTGGAGCAGAAGATGGACTGCGGGGTGAACTTCCTCGACGTGTTCGGCGCCAGGACGGACGAGAGGCAGAAGCTTCAGCACTTCTGCGGGAGCGTGGCGGATCGATTCAACTCCCCGGAGAACGTCGTTCACGTCCGGTTCTTCGCCCAGAAAGAGGGACTCAATTCGCGGTTCAGCCTCAACTCCACCGCTTTCCGCAACAAGGGGGACACCGGTGAGCTTCCTCGTCGCGAAAGGCTTTGCGAAGGGCCATGGTTCCATTAAAAAAAAAAGCGCTTGGGTGCACTGTTGCACAATGATAGGGGGGAGGGGCGAGCTGAACCGCTAAAAAAGTGTCTGGATGTCCCCCACCCCCGCCCAGGCTCCCCTTCCCCCCGCTACACCCCTGGAAAGGACGAAAGTATGCCAGGGAAGAGAGAAATATTCCACTCCAAAAAAAAACTTCGCGTTCTCCCTTGCTTCTCGAGTCGGATGCTCGAAATTCCGGGTCCCGATAACGGCGAATTTTATTTTGCTGGAAAGCTTTCTTCGTCTCCTTTGATTCAGTACACAAGTACACAACGCACGACCCTAGCAGGGGTTTCGACACGATCAAGGGAAGATAGGATTCGTCTCCCTTGCTGTTTCTCCATGGTTATTTTTATTTAGAACGGTGTATGAGAGGCATTCGAGTCGGACCGTCGCGTTTGCGACGACGTCTATACGTGCAGTTTTTACAAACACGACACACAAAATCCACTCATGCATGACGGCACCTATTGGATCGTCCGGTATCGTAGAAAGATTGAAGTTCGCCCGGAACGCCCGGTCTGCAGCAGTAGTCGGCTGGCGAGCCCGGACAGCTCGCTTGGAATGAGGCAGCCCCGCTGGGAGGAGCTCCCAGCGTTGTCCCCTTCCCCCCCCCCCCCCCCCCCCCCCTTTCCTATCAGTTAGCCTCGTCGGAAGCTCTCCCTCCCCTCTTCCTTCCTCTTCTCCCCCCCCCCCCTCCTTCCCCCTCCCCCCCCCCCCTTCCGTGCAGTGGAACTGCGGTCCAAATTCTTTTTCATGTCATCTTTTTTCATCAAGCCATCATCAATCTTCCGGACTTTTTTCAGTCTGTTTAACGGAACAGGGAGACATCCTGCCTCGTACAGGAAGGTATATTCCACAAATTACGTAAGCGTTCGGGGCCCCAAGTAAGGTGCCAAGAAACGTGACGGAACCATTTTTTTTCGTGACCCCTGCAGCAAGTGCTGCACGGTTGAAAGGAAAGCCTCTCCTCGATGCGACCCAAGTACCCAGCCGAATCCCACTTTTTGGCAGGATTCGGGGAAACCCATCTTCTCCCGTCCTTTGGTCTAAGACGAAAGGGACGCATATCTCGACCTAGCACCGCGTAAATTCCCTTGCACGATGAAAACCAACTTTAGAGAGCGAGTTTACGCCACCTTCACACGAATGCGATTGACGTGGCATGGACTTATATAAATTGAAGGGCCGAGAAGGAAAGAAACTCTCTCCACCATTCTGTCTGTAACAGAAAATTTAAAAAAAACCTACGCATTTTTCACTTACAGCCGGTGCTAAACAAAACGTGGCTATCAACGCCAAAATTTCCATCAATTTCATCGGATTGGATGAGAATGGAATATTGGGACAGCTATGAGAACCGTGCACGGATGGGAGACCCATTTTCAACGCATTCCTGAACTGACGGGGAATTTAATTTTTTTTCTGTAAATGTGGGTTCCTCTGGGAACTTTCACTGCCATCATATTAAGCGGGGACTAAATTGCATTCATTCTCATGCATTCCAGGTTTTCTTTGCCCCCAAAGATCGGTTTTCATATGATTTGCATTTAGGTCGTGCCTCGCACGAGCGCCTCCAAGCATCCGCAAGCAGGCGCCGTTCGCGTCGTGCCGATCGATCTTCACCGCGTCCGTATTCCGAGTACGTGCTTGACATGTTTTGCCTCGTACAAAGCCAGCAAAGCCCGTGAAATTAGGCACCGCGGGAAAGGAGAAAAATATCGGAGAAAGACACGGATATGAAAGGCACGCAAAAGCAACAGGAGGCAAGACGCCATGAACGAATGCAGAAGAGAGCCCTGCTGCCATTCCCCCCCCCCCATAGATGCACTGCCGCCTTTGGGGTCAGTCCATGCCGAGAGCCATCCCCGTCGTTTTAGCACGTCCGTGGGGCAGCGTATACGAGGCATGATTTCAAGGATCACGCAATTATAGTATCGGTAGGAGCTGCGTCGGTGATCGAAGTGGTGCAAGAAACCTTTCACAACTGCAGTATTTTCCTGTGCTCTCATACCTCTCCTCTGATAAGACACGCGCCAAACGATCGAGGCGCCCCATTTTTGCAGCCAGGGAACTAGGCATTCTCTAGATGGTTTTCAGGTGACGTCAGCAACCGGGGAAGACCTAAATTTCTCTTTCCTACAAAGCCTTCTCCAGGTAAATTAGGTATCGAGTCCTTTTGTTTGAATAACGAAAATTGGTTCTTCGCGTAATTTTGCCCACACTCGCTTCTGACTTCAGCGGAAAACTTACTAGGGATATGGAGCAAAAACCTGAAGTACTATACTATTCGTACGCATTACCGCTTCAAAAATACTGCAAATGTTAAATTTAAATCAGCTTTCTTCCAGTCTTTCAGCAAAGATGAAACCATTATCTTGTTGAGTGAATAGAGACCACCAAGACTTTCGCCACGGTCTATCAAGTTGGTTAACAATTTGCTGCACAAGATACAGTAGGTAAAAGAGATCCGCCAGAGTCGGTTGCATTTGAGGTGTGGGCATTAGTTCGCTAAAAGAAAACCAAGACTTTTGGTGTGTAATATATATGATGTTTCCAGGTCTTGGTGAGGGATTGAAAAATGATCAACGAGTTTTTTTTGATTATTTGCCAGAGGTTCGTTGCGCGCAAGGAGAATTCGATTGCGATGACGGGGTGTGCTTGCACGAATCTCTCCAATGCAACGGATATTCCAATTGCAAGTTCAACTGGGATGAGGAAGGTTGCGCGGTAAGCGATCATCGAATCCCATCGGTAAAAGTCGACAGATGATCCGCATTCTTTTTGTTCTCGCCGACGGTGAAGAAAAAGAACACGGGTCCGCCGAAGTTCGCGACGAGTCACATCCTGGCGATCATGGTCATCGGATGCCTTCTCCTGGCGGGAATGTGTATTCTCATGCTCTTCAACTGCTTCTACAAGCTGAGAAAGGACCGACGGGAATACAGGGTCTGTGATCCTCCCTCGTTTATAAACCCCTCCAATAAATTCGTGGTATCGAAAGTTGTGAATTTCGATTTTGGATCGCGTAGGAACGTCGATCGCTGGAGCGTTCCCTGCACGGAAGCGTGGTTTCCACGCCGAGCGGATCTCGTCGGCTGGGATTGCAAGGGACGAGCATCTCCAAGACCAGACTGAGTCGCATCCACTCGCTGTCGGAAGACGACGGAGTCTTCTGCATCCCGGATCCCCCGCCGAGACCGAACGGGGGGATCCTGATGAGCCCGATCCCGAGCTCGGGATCCAGGCTCACGCTGACGCGGGAATCGGGGGTTCAGACCCCCGGCTCCTCGTCCACCTGCCCCAGCGACGAAGAGGGCTCCAGCCTCCCGCAATTCTCATGCGGGCTCAGCGAGTCCTCGGACGAGCGCCTCTTGATCTTGGGCAGAGGGGAGCTGTACATCCCCCCCACGCCCACTCCGCCGCCCCCGCCTCCACCAATAGGAAACTTCGGCCGGCACGGTTCCTCCGCTCTCAATAACCCGGGCAGTCGACGGGCTTCGACGACTCACAGCACCAGGACGCTCCCGGCCACCATGCCACACTACAGGGCGGAGGCGGTGATCGAAGTGTCGGAGAGACCTCGTCGATCCCACAGTGGGATGAGTTTCAGCTCTGCCCCCGACGTCATCGTACTCCACTGACAATCTTCAGTTCTCCATCCGGGAACAAATTTATTTCGAGTTCCCTAGTAGGAACCGATGTATCGTTTGGTGAACGCCCTTCGGATTTCCCCTTCCTGACTCGTTCTCTCATTGCAGTGGCCTTTCTCAGGGCTCCCAGGCAGCTACGTCCTCCCGAGTTTTTATGCCATATGCTTTTTATGGTCTTGAATAAAACAGGAACAAAACAGGTGTTCCCTGCTCAGGACCGGTAGTTTTTGGGTTGAGAACGACCCACTTGCTCCAAAAATATTAAGATCAGGGAGGATTAATTGACTGAAATACAGTCAGAACTGCCAACATAACTCATACACGAAAAGCAACAGAATGAGCAAATGATAACAAAGTGATCCCTCACTATCACCTTTATTCAGCACAGAATAGCGGCATATGACATGAATTAAGATGGAGCAACTTTTTTCAATCAATGAATTTTGAATTTCACCATAAGATGAACCACTTCACTGCAGATGAATAACAGTTACACAAGGAATGAAGTTCCAAGGGGTGTTCTGGCTGAAGCAGCCGAAAAACTTGAGGCATTTCAGATAACTGTCACTGATGACAAGATAAGCACATACAGTACTTGAAAACATCAATTACCTTTAGATCACCCACACTGCAGGCACCAATGACCATATCATACAGAAACTCCTTGAATTGGATGACATCAGTAATCCTGCGCATTGAATCCTCCATACTGCTGGCCATTGTAATAACCTTCTTCCTGTGGCTCTTGCTTGAATTGACCATATTCATAGCCAAACTCATTGAAGTCTAGGGAGACAAGAATAAAAAGAAAAAATAAGGCATCACCAATTACAGCATCCAGGATTGTCTCATGGCAGAATGCAAGAAGACTGTCTTACCCTGTGGTTCCTCCTTGACGCGAACATCACCCTCTTCTGGCCTCGGCCTGTCTCGGCGATCCCTGGAAGAATGAATAAAACTTACTGCAGCTGTTCCTTCATAACATAGCTTGAGGGAGGTTCTCAGCACAAGAGCAGGAAAAGCCATGCTCTCAACCTACCTGTCTCGCCTGTCCTTGTCCTTGGATCTTGAACGCCTCCTCCTCTTGTCCCGATCATCCTTCTCCCTCTCTCTGGACCTTCTTCGGCGGTCATCCACTGCCCCCCTTCGCCTGTCCCTGTCTCGATCACCACGATCTCTTTCTCTCTCTTTGTCACGATCCCTGTAAGGAACAAAAACACCAAGGAAATGAAAACCTTGTGGAAGTATTCAAATCATATTGATGACCCACAAATTCAACAATCGATGTCAAATGCTTCAGCGACAGCACAACTTAGCGTAACCCAAAGAGAGTTCTAGCTCATTTTTTAGTTCTTCTATCCCTCTTCTTTTAGAAAAAGGTAAAAATCAGTCAAATTTGAATTTAATCACTTCCCAATAAAAGCTACCGAAGATGGTTTAAGTAGGAATGTAATAGAAAATAGGCAAGACATATCATATGGAGTAGGAGTGATGTATCCCCATTGCATCCTATTGCTGAAAAAAGTTGTAAAGCATTTTCTTCTTGAAATACATATACCAAGTTGACAATAGTCTATCATGCTCAGGAAGCCATGTCAGGCAATACTGTATGCTAACTTTACCAAAAGCTTTCCACTTTATATCAATGATATCCTGAAGAATTTTTGCAGGAGTGAACAAGAGCAAAAGTAAGTATTCCCTAACTGACCTGTCCCTGTCCCGACGATCCCGATCCCGATCTCTGTCCCTCTCTCGGTCCCTATCCCTCTCACGTTCCCTGTCTCGACTTCGGGAGCGCCTTCGATCCCGCTCCTTGGTGCGATCTCCCGCACCTCCCCGTTCACGTTCCCGATCTTCAGCTGCTCCAGCACCTGCCCCAGTCCCATGCTCTCTCCCTGATATCTTGACATTCACATCTGGGCCTCCTCGACGGGTGCCACCCATACCTCCACCTACAGGGAGTCAGTCTCCTATTAGTGACATGGCAAAGGTGAAGTTATTTCATCAGACATCTTGGTATCAGTGAGAAGCAAATAACAGGTTTTAACCCTTCACTGACAGACCCAGAAAATTCTCAGGTTGATTTCCTTTCATATCTCAAAACTTGCTGGTGAAGGAGTTAAAGTCTCCTTGGGATCACAGGTCATGGCAAGAATTCTGACTTACCCAGCCTCCTTGGAAGCCATCCCTTGACGGTGCGCCCTCGTTCAACGTCGACCAGTACTCTCTTTCCATCTATCTTTTTCCCATCGGCATGCTTGTAGGCAGCTGCAAGAAGAACAGAAGTACCAGATGAAGACTGAGCCTGGCTGATGCACGAAAAAAACCATAGAGGATGGCTGCTGCAAATGACTCATCTCAAAATAATGAATGCTTCCATGACTCTTCCTTTGAGAAAAATTCCAAAGGGCTTCCACAATCTGTACTAGGCCTAATTGTATTCAAGGCACACTCTTGATGTTTTTGCTCTATAAGCTCTATCTGATGCTGTCATTGCAAAAACTGCTGGGTTAACTTAATGTTCTAAAAGACATGCTATATAAAATAATTGCATGTATATAAAGGGCGACCCATTTAAAAGTGGACCCAATATCTACAACACATGCTCATCCACTTCCAATAACCTTTGTTGCCACTAATGAGTGCTGAGTGGGTCCACTTTTAAATAGGCCACCCGGTATAGTCAATAGCAAAATCCAGAAGCTATTGACACTAAGGAAAATTCAAGGAACCTGATGAATTATAGGGAAAAATGTATTCAAAACTATACTAATATCAGAAATGCCCCAAGGATACAGGACATATCCTGGGTTCTAGCACTCTTGCTTACCTGCTTACAGACTTTTAGTCCCCTTACCTAAAAGTCCATCAGCAACTAGAGGGAGTACTAGAACCCACTCTTGTGCATTTTCTGCCATTGAAATGCAAAATTATAAATAAAAAATGGTATCCTATCATCATTACCATGGTTTTAAGAGTTAGCTCAACACTAGGGATTTTATTTAGTTTTTGTAACATGTTTGCCAACTCTCAAGAAAGAAATGAAAAAACATGTCAGAAAGTAGACCCTGGATATTAGTAGCAGGCACCCTATATGTTCTACAGCTTTGAACCCTTGCATAGAAAATTGGTGAGCATGAAAGTCTTATCACACATTCTTAATGAAAATTGTAGACATGAAGTCCCCAACATGATTAGAGAGCAGGATAGCCATCAGCTAGCCAAATTTTGAAGATAATTTCAGAAAAGAAACATTAATTGAGTATCATATGTGATTAACATGTCAAAGTTTAGGTAAAATTTTAAGCAAATAGTGGGGTGTGGATAAAACAAAGAATCTCAGGGTTTGACAGGCACCCCATTTTAATGTAATACCTACCATATTCACCATATAAAGGGAAATCTAGAATAAATGCAATGCAGTTTCTCAGTGTCATAATTCAATATTTCATCTCACAAGACTAATTCATTTATTTTTTGTGTCAGGTAGGGATTTACCATCAGTTGTAATGCTCTTAACCCTTTCGGCGTCATCCCAAGTACGTACTCAGGATGCACCTGCGTGCTTGCCTGCAGGATAATGATTCGGGTGGATGCTGAAAGGGTTAAAGCAACAAGATGAATGAGGCAGGAGTAGAGAACTCTTGTTTCCACCATTCATTCATCTTTTCACTTCAAATGCACATGAATGTCCATTTTCACTTTTCTAAAGGATAAAAGCACCAGTCTATTTTTTTATTTATTAATCAGATGTGCTGATATTTGATTCCTAACTGAAACATACAAGAAAGTAGTTCATATTTCCATAACAAGAATCACAAAAGCACAACACTAAGATTAACTTTCTACATAATCTCAACCACCCTTTACTTCAGGCATACCAGGGTCACACTTGAGGCTCAAAAGTGACATTCTTCATACGTACAGAGATGCAAGAGTTCTCTCCCCTGATCACTCCAGTCATGTATGGAGACTTCAGCAGAAACGCCTTTTGAATCAATGTCACAGAAACCAGTCAAGTAAATGCAATAAAATATTTTGGACTCAGTTTCTGGACCATAAGCAGGTCCACTCTGGTCAGGACAAAAATAGGATTTGGACAAGAGTATCTTAACCAAGGAAGAACACACAAAAAGACATATCAAAATGAAGAGAAGGTCTGGTTGAATGATTTGTTGTTGAATGTTGAATGATTCCAAGTGCATCATCACTGTGATTCATGTCCACTGTTTTGCAGATTCTTCCCTAACAGCATGCAATACCAGTCCTACACTCATTGTCAAGGAGCATAATATTCTTTGGATACTGGGCTTGAAATGCACAACTTGACATGGCACTTTCTCACACACTTTACAGGCACATATCACCACAACACTATCAAATTTAATCTCATTATATGCATTATTGGGGAATGATGCTACTCATGGATCATACTTTCCAAATAGCTCTTCCACAATCAACATGGAATAGGCAATCACATTTGACTTAAGCACAAAACCTACATTGCAGAGAAAGGAGTTGGGGCTACAATGGATACCAAGTATTAACTACTTCACAGAGATAAAAAAAGGTACATGATTGGAGAATCACATAATAACCCAAAGGATTCCTGTAACAATTAACACCTGAACAGGATTGCATCTCCATCAATCATTCCCTTTGATAGACAAAAACAAGCAGGAGTTTCCAATAGAAATGTATGCTTCTTGCATGATCACTTTACCTGTGACATGTGAAGCTGAAACCAATCATACTTTTTCAGTATGATTAGTTTACCTTCTGCGATCTATTACCTTCCTAAGGCACCCATAATGGTAGCATGGCTCTTGAGATACTCAGACAGAAATTAGCTTGCTTCATCAGGACACCCATGGTTGTTGGTTGTTGCAAGGTGAAAACTTACCACCATCTCCACAAGTAAACTTACCCGACTTACCAAAAATTATCATGAGAGGTTGGATAATGTTATCAAAAAAAGGTGAGGATCACCACCTTGGCGTGTGAGACTGGAGAACTTACCATGAAAAACTTACCCCCTCATTTGGAAAACAATTATATAAAAAGTAATTAAGTACATCATTACTACTCAACCAGGTTAATTGTGAGAACAATTGGAACAAGGAGATTGGTTTGGAAAAGGAAATAAAAAAAAGCACATGTGGAGGACGGCATGAACGAATCCTTACCACGTAAACAAACCTAGAGCCAGCTATTGGGTTTATGCGATTGTCAATAGGTGCTGCACTGGGATGGAACCAGCTGCATAGGACAATATCTGGTGGGGGAACAAATGTGAGAAATGGACAATTAAAACCTCATTTCTGATATAAGGGATATGATGCACATCAAACAGGAGAATAACATTTGGTATGAGGTCTCAAACATGAACCAGTGAACCCCTTCCACCCTAGGGAAATGGGTTATGGTATCAATGTTATCATTGGATGTTTAAAGAGCCATTTTATAGCTGGACCTACTATTTGTCAGAACCTCCTGAATGGTATAGGTGTAAAGTACTATCATTACTCCAAGTGGGACCTGGCAACAAGAGACAGAAGGGGTCCTGTAGTTGCTTGCTTATTGCCAAGACACTTCTGACCCCTGCATGATCAATTAGAGTATCTCTATAAACATATTCCACAGGTTTTGAGGATGAAACATAGCAAGAAGGCCAGAGAGATCAAGTAGTCTCAGAAGAAGAGGTTGGGGAAGTTACAGTTTCAAGACTCACCCAAATTCAAACCTGAACTTAGCAGGTTTCATTCTGAAGCACATATAATGGCAGAAGAGAAAATCAACAATTTTCTACAAATCCCTAAGAAATACGCAGATAGATATCAAATTATCATCTTGAAGCATTTCAAGTTGGCAACAAAAACATTCAGCATGAGGCCACTATGACCCCTGAGGACTTCCCACTATGTATGTGAACAATGCTCTTGATTAGGAGGTTAAAACAATGCTCATAAGGCTATTGAAGAAAACAATACATAAATTGGGACAGTTTCAGCCTGTCCATGATGGGGAATGCAAAATTCTCTAGAAGAAAACTGCAGGATATCACTTATTTCATTTGAATGAAAAAAAAGTTTGCAAATTTATTTGCATACCTTTCCTTCCAAATAAATGGAGGGATATAGTGTGATACAATGATTATATGATTGCTTCTATGATGGACTTACCATGCATATCACGTTCGTGTTCATACTCAATGAATGCGTAACCTCTTGGCTTCCCTGATCCCTTGTTGTGAACAAGGACAATCTGCAAGAAAAAAATTTTTTATTTTAGTTGTACAATATGTCAATAGACAAACTCATATCCTAATACCATTTTAAAATGTGATAACCTATTATTTATAGTTTTCATAAACTTAAATGCATGATTCCCAGAGTCTCTTAGCACAGGCAAAACAGAACATACCATTATTACCTGCTCCTATACCTCAAGATAAGATCAAAATATCTTCCTTCAAACCTCTATGTAGGGTTCCTTGTTGTCAATATTTTGATCTATGATGCAAATTAAAGGCTGTGTAAATCCATTTTTCTGGGTTCTAGTTAAGTTTGAGGTATCAGAAGGGCTGAAGGTTCAACTCAGCTTGTGTTCTTTGGGTTGGTGTTTGGGTTAGAGGCATTTGAGTCTCTTAAGTATTTGCATCCATTATTAGAACTCATGTTTCAGGTTCAATTTGGTTTGAGGAAAGACAGAAGAAGGAAAATAAAATGAATTGAGGATACCAAATCCTGAGTACCAACAATAAGACCATGCTTTTGAAACCATAGCCCTGTGTATTTTACAAGTGTGCACAATGTCATTAGCACCACCAGTTTCTGCTCTAAATGGGATGGCAAGCATTGTGTGACACCCTTATGTATACATATTAATTATTTCAAGATGCAATCAACAAGAAGACAATGTTCAAGCACAATAAAATGTCATGCCATTGATATGATGAAAGGTGAATTTTTTTAAAATTCATTGAATGGTATAAAGAAAAAGAAATGTGGCAGACACAAATGAAAATACACAAAGAGGGGTCCACATTTGGCCTAGGGACTACAACCAAATCACAGCCCCCCCCAAGCAGGGACACCTCCCTACAGTCGTGTAGAAGGCTTTTGGGGCAGCTCACAGATTGCCCAAGCACTGACTGGCATGAGTGAGTTTTTATTTGGACAGCACCTCTATCTCCTATATGCAGCACACAGTGGCTCATATGGCACACCAATGCTAAGCATGTGGGTCACCTGTCAGTGGAGCCCACCACCGTCTGAACTTGATCCCTCACCTTTTGGATTTAACTCAATGGTCTGAACCACTTGACCATCAAATGTAAGGAAGAGTAAGAATTCACAATTTTTACAGAATGAAGAATATTTGCCTTTCTTCTGGAAAGCTGAGACTCAAAGCTTCCTAATACAAAGTTGAACAATCTCAAATCTCATTCTGCTATACAGAGAGCTTATTCTTGTCTGAAAATGTTAGAAATTGCAAATTAACCCTCCAGTCAGTTCATTGATGATATCTGCTGGGAATTAGAACTGTATATCTGTGTTTCAGCAGCTTGCACCACAGCTAACTGTATCAATTAACAGCAGCTAAAGACAAAGCCGAAACTCTAATCTTTCCTGGTCGTACACCACTCCTTTCAAGAGTAAAAGGAGTGAGAAAAATCCAGGATTCCATAAGGAGATTGTAAGCTCACTCACTTTCTTGATGGGACCGAAGATTTCAAATTCTCTCCTCAGCTTGGATTCAGATGTGTCATAATTCTGGAGAAAAAAAAGAAAAAATTATGAATAACTGACAACTATAAGCATCAATAGAGTAAATGAATACTTCTCAACATCATATAAGTTAGTGGACATTTTTGGTGAATGTTCCATATTGTTAGGTTTAGACTTTTTCCTGCAAAAAGACCAGGCCTCAAACTCTCATCCTGCCATCTTAATTTCATCACCCTTTCAAAAAACGGGTCTCAACCTTGAACTCTAAATCATAACATGCCTCAATGGAAAGTTTTGTAGCCTAAATACTATGCAGCTACTTTTTACATTAAATTATCCTGATGCTGCTAGTGCAAGTGAATAACAATGATGCTACATCTCACTTTGTTTTACCCTGCATGGCAATGATAGATCAAATAAGCAAGAACCATCATTCAAGATAAGTGTTAGGTACAAGCTGGGAACTTTGTTTTAAAAGTGTCTTAAAACTGTAAGAGGTAAAAGAAAGACATTTAACTTAGCATTTATGCATTAAAGCTGGACAGCCAATAATATCCAGCGATCACAATAATTATCAAGCTAATAAAATCCAGCATGATAACCAAGTCAATCAGGTCTGAAAACTTCTTCCTCAGTGTCAGGATGAACCAATCTACAAACACTAAGTACCCTAGGCAGTGGTGAGTTTCTTATCTCTTATATTTATTTTCCCCCTCAAAATAATTATAAATTGTCAATATCTTTCAATATTGAAAATGGAATCCTCTACCAATGTAGTAGCATCACTGCTCAACATTATATTAGTGGTGTTAATAGGATATATGTTGTTTGGTCAGGCTTTTATAATTCCACAGATGTTCATAGTTGAAACAAATAGTTTCAACAACAAATTAGATCCGTATAAGCAGTATAATCCTATGACAGGCTCCACTGCATGTTTCTACCATGTCACAGCTTTACAAGATATAATCCATAATCTCTTGGCATTGTGTTGCAGCCGATCCATAAAAACCTACAAGTCTTCGCATGGTAATTTCACACATATTGAAGTCTCTATTGCAACTGCTTAGTGTGAAATATGCAAAAACATGTCTGGGTTAGATGCTTAACAGATTAAGGTGAAGGGTTTCAATAAGGAAGAAGAGCAAAGCATTTTACATAGCCCAGTTGGTGCCTACTAGGTCACACTGCTCATATAGTTCATCCTAGAAGTTGCCAGACTTTAAGACTTTAATAGTGTAGATAATAGCTGGCCTAGTATGCCAAAAACTTCCATGATCAAATAGCTCCATCAATGATGGCCAATAACCCCTAATCACTCAAGTCCAAACCTTGGCAATTTGACTTACAATTCTGGCAATAAAGAGCGTCTTGAAGGCATCTGTAGTGGCTGTTGGACTCCCATGTGGATCCCCTAAGAAAAAGAAAGAGAAAAACAGCATCAGCACATGACTATCACGTCTGGCAGAGGCAGGAGTAAACTATGGCAGAGAAAGAAGTCTGGAAGGTAAATACTGCATGAAAGAAGTGGAGCACTAGACAGTGGGTGTTTACAGGGCAAAGAACAGAGTCATTGTAAGGCTAGTGATAATTCAAGGACAAAAATATTCAAGGCAACCCTGCATGTTCTCCTCCATTGCACACAAGTATACCTCTGTGCTATTGCAGTGCTGAAGGTTGGCTGTTGGTGATTGGCTATGTGCTATGTCCTATGCCTTGGGTGGAAGTTTCACAACTTATGTTGGATGGTGGGACAAAGAGAAGTCTCAAAAGAGGTGGTGGTAAGTTACCAGGAATCCATCTCCATAAAATATTGTCTCCTCTTCTATCAACAATTATGACATTCCAATCAAAGTCTAATGTTGTCTTTACATGACTAGTCAAATAAAATGTAAACCTCTTCAACAACATCCTCAAGTGGGGCTGCTTCACATGCCCTTGCTCTTTTCAAGCTGTAATATTTGCAATTTTATAACAAAAACTTCTAAACGGACCATCCTGGACAGATACTTCAATGAACTGAAGCAACTTTTCACGATGAGCATATTCTAACCAGAAGGTACTCTTGGATCTTTTAAGTTTTGGCAAATAGAATTGAATGTAAATTCTCATTTGACAATTACAGTTTTTCGGTGTTTTAGTGTGCCACTTAAAAGTTGAGTCTATGCCCCATTTTGATAGAAAATTGGTCAAGTGCATACCTAAAGTATTTAACCATCTGCAGCTTCATCTGATACATAAGCTATGCTCAAATTTCAAGGAAATAATCAGGAATTGGATTTATAACTAACCAGGAATTCTTATGTGAGGATTTATGCTGAAAGCCCACAGATAAATAAATAAATTCATCCCAAATACAACCAATGGCACAAGTGCAGGTATTTCTAAGAAGTAGGTGACATTGTCACCCAAATTTAAAATTATGCAACTGAGATTCAAGTGGAGTTGATGCCAAACACACCAGATCAAGTAGACTTCTGAGTTTTATGCAATGCCAAGGCTTGAATTTCATACTAATTCAAATTATTTAGAAACAGCCTCTATGGGATCATTCAAATAATGAATATATTACATCAGGAATCCTTTTTTCACTGCAATCATGACTGACAGCTATAATTCTACCACAAGTGCTTCAGAATGCAGAAGTAGTATATAGCCTGTCTGTAATGTTGGATGTAGCACAGATGTCCAACATTCAAGTTAAGGAAGGAATTTAGTTTCTTTATCACAAATCACATTGCTCTCAACAAAAACTTTCCAGTTTGATTTACAGATGCTATATCTCCAGTTGCAACATCAAACATATTACACTTTGATTTTGCCCACTGGTCTGAGTAATTTAAAAAATGTATTGAAACATACATAAGGCGATATCTTGTTCAAGCTTGTACTGAATCTGCTCAGATTTTTCCTTCCTTTTGCGCTCCAAGCGTTCCTCTCTTGTTTCCACTCGGACAGGTGGAGGAGTGTCTTTTGGATCCTGGGGGAAAAAATGGGAATGAAGGTCAGCCTCTCTATTTCATGAGGGATAGGAAGTGCATTGGCAATGAATGAGGGGAAAGGGAGAGTTTTGATCAACAGCCAAGTAGCATAGGAACAGGGTCATTGTCCACTGCCAAATGCAATCTCTGGTGGCTCAATTGGCCTTCATTCTTACTTGATCAATGCGCCTGACAAGAGGCACACCATGCTCCTGCTAAAGCACTCTTCCTCTAAATGCTGTGCTTGTCTCCTGCTGCTAGGCATGTGTTTGACATTCTCAGAGAAATTACAAACTTTGACAATGGCAGCATTCACCCGCTTTGCAAAACTCCAGCATTGTGGAAGATGGTGAGCAGAAGAGTTAAGCAATTTTTTTCACTGATCCATAGTTGTGAAAACTTGAGTCCAGAATGTTCCTTCTGTCAATTTAAACCTGATCATCATTTGTCATTGTAACCCTTTTTTTTTTCCAGGGAGTTCAAGTATGAGCAAGAGCAGGAGTTCAGGGAGACAGGAAAAAGAATTACTGTTGGAAAGCATCTAAGTCTAAAGTACCCTCCTATCAGGAAGGATAAGGAACAAATTACAGAATTCTCATGTGATCTGGTAAGTTCAGCCTTCTCATACACTCAATCCTCACCATAGCTACAGTAGGATTAGTTTAGTTGCATTACAACTGAACTTCATTTCTGTTTCACCCAGTTGATCCTGCCAGTGACAGTATAAGTCAATGTGAATTCATTATAAATCAGAAATAATAAACTGCTCATGCTACACAAATTGTAATGCACTGCTTAAACTTATATAATGCAAGACTTACAGATAAATACAAGGTTCACTTGATTCACATAATTTTCTTCAGTGAAAATCATGTTATGATATATATACCTTGGTATACCACTAGAATAGTAGATAAATTTGTATCATTCCTGAGTGCAGGAGTTGTGACTTTTGCTCCAGACCCTCCAAATTCATGCTGTCAAAGGACTTGGTCCCTCTCATTTCCCCATTAGGTCCACATGAGTCCTGACCTTCAAAGAGCAGGATTATTGTGGTAGCTTTCCAAATTAATGTAAATTTTTCAACTTTAGTGGAAATAGTGGGGGAGTTGATTAATTGCTAGTTCATTATGCCAACCCCCTCCCTCCCTCATTCTGATATTTCTCCCATTCAACAGTAGACAGGTTGACAAGGTTATGTTGAGGGACAATTTACATCTTGTGTGTCACCACCCCATCCAACTATAGTTACTAATAGTTATAGCTAGTTTAGTCCACAAAAGTTAGAGGAATCTAGGCCATAAGCTGTGTACAGGATGTTGCTACAAGTATGGGAGTGGATGTTAAGTGCCACCCACTTTCATTCACAGTCTCGTTCCTGTCCCGATTCAGGGCACACTCATATTTATTGCTACCAAGGACTATTCCCATATACAACTGGCACATTTCAATGGATGTCAAACTCTGCCCACTTCTGTTTAATCTTGTTCCCAGTCTCATTATGCTAACTCTTCACTACTGAATTCCTATCAGAATTCCCAAAGGGCATCCCAGCAGCAACTGCAGCTGATAACCTGGGAGAAAAAAATTCTAGAAGCAAGATGGCTATCATGTGGCAGAGTGTGCCTTAACCCTTTCAGACCTAAATTAAGGGCACCACCAGAATAATATATATTTTTTGCATTTTGGAGCTCTTTTGCTATTTTACTTTCAGTTTTTATGTTCTATCAACCTTTTTTATATTTTGTATAAATGTACCATACCATACTATATATTATACATGTAATTACATAACTGAAAACCACAAAATTGACTGGTGAGAGAAGGCCTCCAATGGAATTGAACCAAGCCCATTGTAGTGTAATATGGGGCACAAAGTCATGAGGATCCCAAGATGTTACCATAGACACAATGAAAATGCAATGTCCATTTGAATGGATGCTGGGTCTGAAAGGGTTAAAGCAATGGTTCCAAGCATTTTTTTTCAATGGCAGGGACACTTCCAATACCTTTCATTGCATGCAGCACAATTTGAATGCCTACATAATTCCCTGGGGAACTGATGTGGACTTAGGAACCATTGGCCCTTGGTTGCTGTGAGAAGGAAAGGTTTCCTCTTGTAATTCCCTTGCTTGCAAACCACAAATCTTGTAGCACACCTTATGTTTTGCTGATGGCAAATCAGTGTGCCATGGTAAACACTGCCTCAAGGATCCAAGTGTTTTATATAGTGCCAATCAGTATATGAATGGGGTCTGATCCAACCTAAGGAGTCCTGCTCCATCCCCCAGGAGGAAGGGGGTCATATGCCAAACATGGGGCCTGTACATAAAGGTCTATTTAATTCAGGAGAGGGTTGACACGATGAATGCAGAAAAAAAATGGAGAAAAGGAAAGTGGAAGTGGATGGCATAAAAATGTGCCAACCATTAGAATATCAGCATTCAAAAACAGGTAAGCAGATTTTTTTTAATCAACCAGCCATTCCATTTTGCAGGAAGTGAAACTTAGGTTTACCACTTACTTAACAATAAGCCTGTAAATCTTTTGCCTTTCATTTTTCCCTTGAGGACTATGAGGGAAAAAAAAGAGAAACCAAAACAAAGTGACAATTTGATTGCTCAAATGTAACACAACCATTTTTAGTTTTGGTTTTCTCAAGGAAAGCATATTGCACAATAATTCATAGATTGATCAATAGGTTGATCAATTGATTGATTCAATAGGTTTTAAAACCTCAAACAAAGCAGAACTAGTGGTGGCATGTCACTGTGCTGGCCATCTGATGAACAGAAATGTGAACACTTTTACATAAAGATATGAAGCAGTTTGGTTCAAACCAAATATTAAAAATCTTCAAACAAACCTCGAGAAATACAAAATTGTTGTCTCGCACGTAATTTTGTCATCGAGACCACATCATGAAATGATTATTTATGGTGAGCTGTGTCAATCAATAACTGGGCACCACTAAGTATGAAGCCTATGCAAGTAAAATGCCATAGCCTTGTAGGCCTTGCATGTTAGGCTGGAGAAGAGTGACAACCATTCACCACTGCTTTCGGCCTCTTCCTTCTTGCCTGGCCTATGGCCACAGAACAGCAGAGCCTTGTAGGCCTGGTGCTTTAGAATGTGGATTGCTTGGCCTATGACCAAAAATGGCATAGCATCTTAGGCCTTGTGTGTTAGAGCTGACAGCTACCACAATTTCCAGCCTCCTTCAATTCAAGTATCAATTATCTCTTTCCTTAGTAATGAAATACTATGATATTCCTAATCAAAAACAAGTCCATCAAAAATAGTTTTCAGGAAGGAAATCACTGGTACTCACATCGTTTCATCAACCTATTTTCTCACTTGGCATTGTTAAACTTGAACATGTTTGAAGCATCACCATTCACTGCATTCATTTATTCAATTTTCCGCCTCATTGAGATTTCTTTACTCTAGATAAAAGGCTAGCAAAAAGTGTACGAAGTGACCACTCAATTTGATGTTAAAGGAAGAATTTATCTTTGCCATAGGGTGGCCGTGGGCGTATTAGCAGAGCTGAATCCAAGCCAGAACTATATCAGAGAGATGGAAATTGTGATTGGAACCTGATTTATAAATGTAGATCGGAAATCCTACCCATGAGCCAACAGCCACAAGAAAGTGCTCACACATGCCTATCCTCATATGGTTCTCATTCTCAAGACCTCCAGAAGGTCTCTTCAGAATGTTCTGGATCTGGATCTAGATCCAAATCTACCAAGATAGAAGCACCCCACCAGAACCTTCTTCAAGAGATATGGAGGAGAGGTGCTGCATCAGTTATGCCTCTCCTCTCCAACCTCATCCATCACCATGAACAGTGAGTCAGGAGTTATCTTTCCCTTGATAATTAACTACACAAATGAAAGAGCAAAAGCTTCAAAAATACAAAAAAACAATAGAAGTTGCATGTAGAGCAGACATGAGAAAAAGTCAAGGTGGTATGGTGAGTTAGACAGTACATCACCTACCACAGTTACCAAAACAAACTCACCTCAAAAGCTTGTACAAACTGTGCAATTCCTGTGTATCCTCGGTTCTTCTTCTCATGAGGAAGTTTCTCTAATGGAGGAAGGTATGGTATTGGGTCTCTTGGTGCAAACAGTGCCAATAGATTTGGAGGTAGAAATTGAGTCATCTCCCACTGTATTTAGGTAAATCCTGATGTAGGTATTTATTTCATCCACAAAGGAGTAAAAATTCTCCCCTCATATATATGCCATTAACTGCTTGATCCCTAAAAGAAATACATGAAATCAGTTCATAGAGGCAAAGATGTAAAAGTATTAGCTTATGCACTAGTCTGCCACATGTTGGGATAGCCCAGATTTTGGCATATGCTAGGTCAACCCACACAGGCCAGACCCAGCCCCTGCAAGTTTTGACGTTCAATTTATCTTTTCTTACTTTTGTAATCAATATGGTAGTCAGTCTTACCTCATTGTATCTAACCATTGATAGAGACCAAAGTAAAAATTGCAAATAGCCACATCTTACTAGCCACATCCAGAGCAAACCCTCCCATTCCAAGCTTAATCTGAGCCCTTTTCCTTATAATACCCAACGATTGGTTTTTCTAGGAAATTGGAAATACCTCAAATCAAAGTTGAGGCCTAACCGAGTCACGCCTAAAGTTAATGGAGTCAAATTTGTGACTAATATTCAGTTGCAGTTCCCTAATGCATCTTCTTTATTTAGCATCTCTCCCTCCCCCCGTTGACTGAAAAGGTCTACGGTGACAAAATAAACTTTCAACCGATATTTTCATGTCCCGGTCTTTTCGCCCGCAAAGCGGCTTCAAGTCAATTTACAGACATCCCAGTTTTTACAGAATACAATTCGGTCACCTAACTAAAGCGTTTTTCACTTGACTAAGGATGCTCGTGCATGAGGAACACCCCGTACACAGGTGTCCAATTGAGCGGGAAAATGTTGACAGATGAAAGACGTCGTACTTCTATATAAGTCTAACGTTAGGCTTAATCTAGCTAGGGGCAGTTCTGACCCTTCGTGGGAGAGGTAGCCCAGCCGAGACTAGGTGTATGCCTTGGTTTTCTTAGCGAAAACGTAATGATTCAGTGCTTTAAAAAATACTGCAAATGCTTTAAAAAATACTGCAAAGGAATGGCACTCTCATGTCGGTCGACACTGGCGGTGGCCGGTGGCGCATCTTATGGAGGAAGACCATCATGGCTACCGCTGCATCGGCTGTGATACGGCTTGCGCATGCGGATGGCTCACACGATGGGAGTTCCATAGCCATCTGGTGGCCACAATTTCAACTCCTCTTAATCACCTAAGAGTCAGGAAGGTGCTTCTCGTGCTTCATACCAAATGGGGACGGCGTATGACAAAGCCCGTCTATGTCGTTGTCGCTGTGCAAAAATAAATTAATGAAATAAATTTTAAGAGGCTGAGTGTCTTCTTTGGAGAAAATCAGATGTACGCCTAGTTTGTGCCGTCTCTGTCAACAAAGTCTCTTCCATGTTCATGCGAAATTTTTTGCTTGCGCGAAATTGCACAAGCCTCATTTAAGGGAGATAAAGGGGTCTTAGAGCTAAAGAACTCTTTTTCCTAGGAGTCCATGTCTTCTTAAAGGACCGTTAACTAAAGAAGGCTTCAACATTCGGGCTTAAGGCCCGAATGCACAAGTCTCATTTAGCTAACGGTCCTTTAAGGAGAAAACAGACCGTTTGTTAAAAGCCTCTTTATCTTGGAATGCGCAAACCTCCTTTAACCTTCCGCTAGCTAACGGTCCTTTAA